CCAAGTTCGAGATCTGAGTATGTAGGTCAAAGGTGAAAAGTCATAGCTCATTAAATATGGAAAAACACCTAATTACATGTGAAAATGTGGTTAACTTCCTCGCCTAGTAATATAATAGTATAGTCCATTGGAGGTAACTTGTTCTGACGTACATGTATATAGGCCATTTGTACCCTGCGAGGGGATGCTACGCTTTGCGTTGACTTGTTATTATTGCAATGCTCTCTAGCTCTCTAGTACTAGCTTGAAAGCTTGTCAGAGGAATGACTGGTATATCCAAGCTGCTTTCTGACTATTGAAATATTTTTACTCAAGACATGCGGATGAACTCTAGAACAAAGGTCCCTGTTTATGTAAAAGGAGGAAGAAAAATACACCTATTCTTAGTAATAAAAAAGTATATATTTATTTAAAAAAACTCTCCAAATTGCTTTATTCCATTTCTAAGGCAAAAAAATGGAAAAACAAAAACAATGCTCAATACTCGCAATTTTTGAATGGGATTAACCTTCTGACTGCATACATTATTTATTGATAAATTGTTTTGCGGTTATATGGAGTGATACCATATGGGTATCATGATTGATATCAAATGATTTATCATTATTTTGGATAAATCACCACAAAAAAAATAGAAATGTAAACTAGTATTTTGATATTAACCTGAAAAGCGTGGAGGCGTTCTTAATGTATTAATTATAAAAACAGATTAAAACAAGGGAGGAAAATACCACGTAACACCCCCTGTCCTCATTATTTATGGTGTCTGCAAACAAAAATACTTTCAACTAATTGCCTCGGTTGAGTGCTGGAATTACATTGTATGTGAAAATACAGAAGGGAGTGATGAATCTCTGTATTTACACATCCGTCACAGCTGTGCCGGCAGTATATAGGTTTAATATATTTTCCAGCTCAAAGTACTGATTCAATAATTGAACATGGGAATGCCACGTGTGCACGGCGATTCCACTTTGTGTCACAGGTGTGAGGTTTGGGCCCAGTTTAGAGAAAGTAATTGAGAAAAGAAGGTTATCTGTCGTAAACCTTTCTAGGCCTTTATTTCTACTACCATCAAACGTTGAACAGCCTTGGCAGCATTTGAGAAGATAAAGAATTATATGTAATTAGCCTTTAAAAATGTATGTTAAAAAATCAGTCTTTATAGATGAAAACAAGCTATATTTTTACATTGGATAGTGACCGTTTATTAAACAGAATTCCTTTGAAATCATTCCCTCTTCTTACGTTAGTATAGATCTATGATTTCAAAGTTTTTTTTCTTCATTTTTAAGATACTTGTTGAAATGAACTTTGATTTTCCCTAAAGTAACTTAAAAACATTTCCTAAAATTCTAAGGGATAACGTTTTTACAAAATGTACTTCACTTTTTAAGGAAAATTTAATTGAAAATATTATATATTTTTATGACCTGATATCAACATGTAAATGATGGGAATTATTTGGATGAATTAGAGCAGGCTACAAAGGAAGCAGTGGGGTGATAATAACAGCAATAATATCTTATGAAAATTAGATTAAATCACATTAGAACTATCCATCTCAAATTGCAACTCTGTACATTCACATTGCCAAAACTAAAAAGGGCAATTTGATGAGATTTCAATTCATGAAACAAAGCGAATCCAAAACCTATTGGCATATATAGCAATAGGACCGCAGAATATTAGATTCATTAGAGACAGGTGTCTGTATAGTTTCATCAAAAGAAAATACATCATGGATGGGAAAACAACAATAGTTTTAGTATGGCTATTCATCAATCTAGCCGAGCCATGTCAGGTTATTTTTCAGATATCCCTGGAGGGAGCCGGCCATTCGTGTTTGTCAGAGTGGAAACTAATATTGACCGAAATGAAAAATAAACAATGTTCCAGTCGTTAAATATTAAAAAGAAGGGATAAAACAAGGCCCTTGTAAATTAATATGTAGACGTCAGGAACAGATGATTGAGGGGTGGTGAGGGGCGGGGCGTAGCCAGGGGTGAAGATGGAGAATTAAAGGGATGGGGAGGGATTGGGAGGGGGGGGTGGACTGAAAAGTGAGACAATGTATAAAAGAGAGCAATTTACAAAAATGTCCTACGTTTTCTCTTCAGCTCTGTTCTTTTAAAACAAAATTACTGTTATTGATTATGAGGGGGGGGGGGTTGCATATCTCCACTCGACCCCTCCCCCTCCCTCGAGTCTTGTTGATACTGGGTTTTGTCTTTACTGCCAATCTCGCCGGCGGTTGATATGATAATAATAAGATTTCGTTGTCCAGCAATCAGTTTGTCTAATGTAACAGCCTCTCAAAGCTTGCAGCTAGCATGGATGACATGGGCTTGCATGTAAGTTTAAATACTATTATTTTATGCTTTGAGATAGAAATAGCACAAATTACACATTTTTAATTGGATAGAAGAGATGTGATTTAACAAAAGGAGTCAAGTAACAAAATGCATTGATTGCCAGCTGTTATTTCTAAAAGGGCACCGATGCAATTTCAAAGGATTGGTGCTTTATGTACTTGGTTGGTAATCTTGTATTGTACCATTAGTATATTTGTTAAAAGAACAGTATTTTCATTAATTTTTTAAAAATATTTCAGAAATGCTAATAGGGTTTTGCTTGCAGTGTTAATTGATATGTAAACAAAATTAGCTTACTTTATGAGATATTTATGTGAGCTGTATTTTGAGATATTTAATGACATATAAGTTCATTTTTCTTTTATCATTATGGTTTTTCTTTACAGTTAAGAATGAGCTCATTACTGGTCCCATGTGACATAGATATTTGTTTCTGTGCTCTCTATTTTTTATTACATTTTACCCATGAATTTGTTCTGTGAAAAATCAATTTTCGTTGCTACGTGCCTTGCAGAATAGTGTCTGCAACTCTTGTAACTTGATCGCAAAGACCAAACACAAAAATCAATTCAAGGCAATTTTAATAGCCTTGGCCATCATATTTTGAATGATGTGAGCATTACAGTGACATGTTTGTTATGTAATCTGAACTTGATTTCTATAAGCAATAGAATATGCTATGTAAATTGTGGTAGTTTCATTACGGGACAATATTTCTGATTATATTTCATGTTTCAGACCAAGATTTTGTTTGTTATATTCTGATAGGTACCTGCACTTGTGGTAAATGTATGCCAGAAAAAGGTTTAATGAATAATTAGTTAAGAGTCAGAAGGATATGAATGCTTTGTAATGGATATTTAAAGCCTGTCTGCCCTAGTTTGGTCAGGAGTGATTAGACCTCCCTGTGTGGTCACTGACAGGTGGTTATCTCATCAAATCAGCTCTCAATTAACATAAGAAAAAGGAGACCATGGGGTACTGACAGGTACCGCTCAGGCATTGTTTGCTATATAGAGGGCGCAAGTAGCTACAAGTAGTACAGTCTCGCTCTAAACAAAAAATAATAATTATTGGAAAATTAATGCTCTCATAGCTACCAAGTGTGAAAAATGCTGCTGTGGTTTGCTTAAATGCACCATTGGGTAAAATTGACTTAATTTCTATTTGTCATCTTGAATTACATCAATCTAGCTTTTGACCCCATCCTTTGTTCAAATTTCCCCTCTCTCTCAAGTGCTCTCTCGCGTTCTTTGCATATGTACTTCTGTTCATTCCGCGCCAATGTAAATCCTCCTCACAGACAATGCTACAGCTCAATTTACCAAAAATCTGGTGATTTAAAAAAAAAAAAAAAAAAAAAAGTTTATGAAGTCCCTTCCACGCATTCTCAAATTCCACGGCTACTGCTCTTCCGTGATATTTGCACAGCAAATACGCAAAGTAGTAAACGACCCTTTCATATTTTATGGAAAATATAAAATGAAATGACAATATTGGTTTTCAGGTTTTGTGAAATGTTGGCTGTTATGGGAGGCATTGAAGGGGGAGTGTAATGTGAAGTACGTGTGTTAGTTTGATTTATGTGAGTGTTTTTATATTATCTTGGTAAATGGCTGTATGTGCATGTGTGTGGGCATAATTGAGATTTCCCATGGCAGCCATAGAAAGGCTTTTTAGAAATAACATTTGAAAGGTTTTAAAATGAGATGGTGTTAGGTGGTTCACGCTTTTTTTAAGTGTTTTCCGCAGCAACGGAAGAGAGGAAAATCACAGAATGGTATATTTCTAACAAATATGAAATATGTAGATGTAATGATGTGATGAGGATTTATTTATAATCGGACTGCTAAGAGAGCAAGTATATATATATATATAAATATATGTATATAAGGAAACAACCATGGGGGCTTATGGCTGTTTGATGACCCATCTGAGGGATTTGGTAATGAGGGTTAATGCCTTGTCAAATTAAGGGCACTAAAGCTAGTATATTAAACAAGGTTCCAAACCTGGGACCTATAAGTTAAGAGACCATTGCTCTACCACTGAACCATCATGCCTCCGTATTAGTCATAGATTGTCGTCTGCCGACAGTCCGTTTAGAGCCAAAAGGGTGTTAACTCATATACTTTAATACAGAGTCAATGCCCTTCTGGCTCCAAACAGACGATATGTATTGTCAATGGCATTAATAGCCTTCTTGCTAGAATCTGATGAGATTTAAAAATATATTATTTATAATGCTTGATGTTTTTCTAGTAGCCTTTTGAAGGAGGAGATTGAAATGTATGATATACTTACTCCACTTTAATGATAAAAGATAAAGAAATGAACAGCTCTACTTCACTCTAAGTCAAAAATAGAGCCAGCAAACGATTGTGCATGTGCAGCTGTTGTGATAAGTGTCCGTTTTTCAACTCCTTGTGTAAGAATTATTGATCAAAAAGAGAACAAGAATCTAACTATCTGCCCATTTGAAGAAAAAAACCTTGGGCTTTAAAGATGATACATTCTTAATGTATGTCTTTTGGGTGTTTAAATATTATGTTTATATGTTGTTTTTAATTAATGTTGTTGTTGTCATGGTAATAATTTTCCTTCTCTCCTTGATTTTCTTCACAGCCGGTATTCAGAGAAAGCTTGCAGCAATGATGGGAGTACATATGGTCGTGACTGGAGTGGGACATGATGTGAGTACAGAGTTAAACTTGTTTGTCTGTCTGTATGTTTGTCTGTCTGTTTAGTTGTATGTTTGTTTGTTCCTTTTATGTTTTTTTTAATTTTCAGTTCCAGAAGATTGATCCTGAGAATGAGTTATGTTTTAAAGATACAACATGAAGATGTGGTGTTGGTGATATTAAAGCGAATGGTATACTAATTATATTTGACCTGAGGGTTTAAAATCACCAATAATTCACAATCCAAAAACAGACCAATGGGGGGGGGGGGGGGGGGGGGGGGAGGGGGGGGGGAGGGGGATTGTTTCTTCATCTAATAAATGAAGATGTTATTGATTGATTATGTATAAAATGGTAGTTGAGTTGGGTCTACTAATATGGGAGCTGTTGTGAACAGGAAATAGGGGCCTACACTAAATTTTAAGACAAACAAATAATTCTAACAATTGTTGGATTTGAGTCATCATGTTGCAATATGCTTGGTACAAGTATTTTTCTATTTCTCTTTTGTTTATGTGTTTGATAGTGTGGTGTGATGTGCATGTGTGAACGGGAATGTGGTATTACTCAGTCCTTTATTTCATGAATAAACCTTTTAATACCAGAATTAAATATGTATCTGTATCTTCAACAAGATTCATTGCATATAGTTCTATGACTTTATGACATTCAAATGTTTTTTGTGTTTGTGTTTATTATGGTGTATGTCATGGGATAAAAAGTATAGACAAGGGATGTAGTTGCTGAAATCGTTTCATCGTAGTTGTGTCATCAACAAACTGTAGATAAATACTCTTCTGCTCTTTTATAACTATTCATTCAAGTGCATGGTAGTATCAGATGTTTTTTCTAGTTCCTGCAGCTGATCAACACATAAAGATATTTCATTTGTACTGTTGACCGCTAGAAGACCTGTAATTCAGCCTTGAGTAGCTGAATTGGTCACTCTTGACTCACAATCAAAAAAGGTGTTATTGATATAGAAATAGCTGAATGAAATATCAACCCTAGTTTGGTGTTTAAAAAAAATATTTTAAAAAGGCTCTCTGATGGTCACTCGGGCACTTTCACACTAGATGAAAGAGTGTTTAGAGGGACATCTTTCCAACAGTACCTCCACCTATGCTGTAGTGTTATATCATGAAATTTTGATTAGTACAATCACTGAATTAAAGCATCTAGTAGACTAGACCTGTTCACAAATGTACAGTTTTAGGAACTTACACAGAATAGATATGGTAAAGTGAACACAAAAGTTGTATGTTTGGAATCTTATAGACTTCTACAGTGGTGTACAGTTCTCAATCTGTTAATAGATATTCGCAGGGCGAGTCATCCAATAAATGACTAGTTTTTGTTTACAAGACTATAGATGCACTGCCCAATCTATAAAGATTAAAATGGGAAATTAGTATTTACACATTTAGATGAAGTCTTGAATTTATTGCACTCGAACATTGGATAGTTTTCTTTGTCTGAATTGGGTTTTGCCAATCAGGTTTGAATTAGATGCAATTTGGTGAACAACATGAAAAAAGATACGCCATATTGCGAGCAATTCAAATTCAAATGGCCAAACTCTTATGTATAACTGGGTCTGGGTATATGCCGTGCAGCGATATGGTCAATTGCGCTGAATAAATATCTAATGGAATACTGACCGCTAGCAGTTGATTGATGGGATCTGACTAGCTATAATTGCCTGATTGAATAATAGATGAATTAACGAGGACAGTGATTGATAATATATCAGAAACAGAAGGACGTCATCACGAACTTGACCTGTCGCGAAGGTCAAAGATTGTATTCATTTCAAGCAGATTTAATATTTGACAAGAATGCAGGGTGAAAGAAAGGAATCAAGTTACAGTTTCTCTTAAATGGTTTATTGAAATATTAAGAGTTTTAGAATTGTGAATCTTTCAAGCAGAATTTTTTCGAAATGGAGCATCAGTACCTCACTACCAGCACTTACCATTTCAGGAATAAGACAGAGATATCACACAGATGAATTTTAATGATTAGGGGCCTTGCTGTGTGCAGCTCTTTTTTTAAACCTCCACTTTCTCTTTCGCTGTGCCATTTTTGTTTAAAGTAGGCTTTTACTTGAGGCATTTGTTATACTAAGGTAAATAAATGTCTCTGGTAACCCAACATTTGTTGCAGGCTTTAATTTTTCAAAGATATAGGTTTAGGGTTAGATTTCGGTTAGTATAGGTAATTGACTGCCGAGTGCTGAGCAATTGTACATAGCCAATACATGTCGTATAACGTAATATACACATTAGATTAAAGGGTTTTCCAACATTTATTTGTTCAACAATTATTATTTTGTCAAAGCATGTAGGGTTATGGTTAGTAGTACAGTTGAGTTTCAATCTAGATTTAGGGTTAGGATTAGTATACAGTATAGGTACAATCAATCCTGCTTTAGCAACCACCTGTATAGAAAGACCACCTGTCTATCGAGACCACATTTTCCATTCCCCTTGAATATGGTTTCTCATCAAAACCTGTAGTAAAGGTACCTGTATATAAAGACCAACTGCCTATAAAGACCACGTTTTGTATTTCTCGTGGGCAGTCGCGATAGACAGGTTTCACCGTATATAGTCTTAAGTCCAGATTCAAAGTTTAGAATTTTGAAAGTGTATCAGATTGGTCACGGGCCAATTCTGACTGCACCTTGTCATAGACCTTAATAGACAATATGTTGATGAAGAGAATGGAAGATGAATAGGCAGTCCATGAGAAATCTGTCAGTTTGGAGCCAGAAGGGCATTGCACCTCATAAACTAACACACAATTAATGCCCTTCTAGCTCTTAGCGGATGAATTGAAGGATTGAATCATTGATGACACGAGGGACAGAAGTATGATGGATGATCAAGGAGGCCTGGAAAATACTTCAAAAAGAGCGATCATAGGTAGATGGATCTTCCAATGGATGTGATCCCTAAAGAGGATTGTTTGTGCATTTTTAGAGAGAGGCAGAATTTTATTTGTTGATCTGATCATGGCTGAAATTGATTTTTTTTTTTACAGGATAACAAGATATTGACACTGAATATTCAGGAAATAGATTAAACTTAAAAAAGAGTGATCATATGTAGATGGATCTTCCTAAATTGATCCCAAAAGAGGATTGTTTTTGCATATTCAGAGAGAGTCAGCATTTAGTTTGTTGATCTGATCATAACTGGAATTGATTTTTGTACAGGATAACAAGATATTGACACTGAAATGATTGAATATTCAGGAAGTAAATTAACAGATAGGACTTATAAATCAAAATTTTACCAAATAAATTGTGTCCAACTCATGGTTTTTATAGAAAATGTGTAAATGCTGAGTAACTAGTAAATGAAGATAGCAGAAAGTAAGTTAGTAGTCCTGAAACTACTACTATTATATATTTAAAATGATCATAGGTCCTCTTTATCTTTCTGTTATAAGAGAAAGAGAAAGATAACAAGATGAACCAATCATCCTACATTTTCTCTCTCTCTTTTTACAGATTTTTTTACAGAGAAATAAAATAATTCCAAGTAGTACAATAATGATGGAATATACACTCTACAATTTAAAAATTTAACAAAGATTATTCTATTTTCACCATGGTGTTAGTGTTTAGACAATGCTAGACTATATAAGGAACAAATCTAATGTGTGCCACAGGCTTTGGAGATGTGAGCCCTCTTGTGTTCATAGTTAGCAAGCCTCTACACGTACATGGCTACGTGCAATTATGACCCAGGCAGATACACTCTTGAATCCATGAATTGGCAAGAATGAATAATCATCTTTTTATATCCCTCTCGACATTTATGTGTCGTGAAATGGCTTCAATCAAAGGGGAATGGTGAAGAAGAATTTGAATAAATAGTTTACAAACAATCATGCATGTAATCACTTGTGATTTTTTATCCCCATCTAGAGAAGTTTGAGAGGGAACAAAAAATGGTCTTTCAACTTTGACATTTGCAATATTTGCTGTTGAAAAGCCAGCAGAAATGAGCAAATTTGATAAACAAATAATGTTCGGTTGGGATTATGAGAAGTGCATGGAATGTAAAGTAGTAGACGTATTCTGAAAATGGGCCTTTGAAAGTACTTACAAAGAGACATGCCTGTGTGTAAAAAGCATTTAAATTTAATTTCTCTCTCTCTCTCTCTCTCTCTCTGTTATTTTGTAACAATCAATCCCCTTTAAGTATTTCTGTTTTACAACCCCTATCTCTCGCTCTCCCCATCTCTTTCTCGTTTTCTTCTTCTCCAACCTCTCCCTTCCTATTCTTATATTTTCTAACCCCCCCCCCCCCCTCTCACTCTCCCTATCCCCTCCCTATCTCTCTCTTACTCCCTCCCTCTTGTTGCCCCTTCTTCTCTCTCTATTAATTTCCTCCCTCCCTCACTCCCTCTCATTCTCTCCCTCTTTTTCCTCTCTCCCTCATTCTCATTCTCTTTTTCTCTCCCTTAAGTCTCTCTCAGACCCCGTTCTCACTCACTTCGTTGGAGCTCTCTTGAGCGCTCTAACTAAGACCCGCTCCTCAGGAGCGGTTCTTAGGTGAGTGAGAATGCTCAAAGTGGTCCAGGAAGCGGACTTCTGGACCGCTCCAGAAGTCCACCTTCCGAGGTGGTCTTGAGGAGCGGGTCTTATTAAGAGCGCTCCAGAGCGCTCTAACGTGCAATGTGAACGGAAAGCGTACTTTGAACGGAAGCGACGTTCTGCGCGATGAGCGATCGGGCAGGCACTACACATATACATGTATACGGGACGCGTCGCGAACGGGACATCAGGTGACATAGGGTTTGGATTCCGCGCGCGAAAAAATTGACCCGCCTACCTGAGCTGCCATAGCAACAAGACCACTTTGACTCGTGGAGCGGTTTGAGCCATAAAAACTGCTCGGAGTGTGAACGCTCGCAAACCGTTCCTCAAGACCCGTTCCTCTGGAGCGGTCTGGAGCGGTCTAACTAAGACCACTTTCAAAGTGAGTGAGAATGGGGTCTTATTCTCTCTCCCTTCTCTCTCATTCTCTCTCCCTTCTCTCTCATTCCCTCCAACTTTCTTTCTAACT